ATGTTATATATCAGTGCTGACTGGCATTGCTTGTTTATTGTGTGGATCTATGAGTGTACGTATGTTTGTTTGTTGGTAAAGTTGTTTGTTTGTTTGTTTGTTGGTATATTTGTTTGTTGGCAAAGTTGTTTGTTTGTTTGTTTGTTTGTTTGTTTGTTTGCTTGTTGATGTATCTGATGATTATATGAAAAAGGTATGTTGACAGTAATTCATGTTTGTCTTGGTTAGATTCTGTATTTTTTTTTTAATTTTAAAATTTTGAAAATATAAATAAAAAATAGATCTTATCAAATTATTTCGTTGTTTTAATAGAATTATTTCACTGGTTAGCGAATAAACTCAATGTCAGAGTTCAAATAACTGTTATCCACTGACTACATACAGAATGAAAAACATAGAAATCATTTTGATATTAAATCATGTTATCATTTTGGATAGAATTTACAAACAAATTTTTATAAAATATGTACACTTCGTCAATTGTTAATTTAAAATAAGTTAATTATAAGATAAGATGTTATCTTTGATTTGATTAAATGAACTAATTGATTTGATTTGATTTGCCAACAACACCTACACATTCAAACTCTGATAAACTCTTTTTTTGTTATCTTCATTGGCACTGCCGAGGTTGATCGTATTATAATCCGGTTCAGTTTCTTCCAATGTTGGCGATGTTTCCTGTTTAGCCGATGTAGTAGCCATCGAGACCTCAGGAGAATTCATCAAGATTGATGACAATTTTTTTGTTTTTCTAAAAAGTTCGGAAAGAAAAATGATAAAAATTTGTTTTTGAAGTGTTTTTCTGAATATATGACTAAATGGTCATATTTTTTTTCAAATGTGAAATGATAAAATAAAATTTTCATATAAAACATATATATTTGTAACAATTTTTGTACTAAATCAAAGAAAATTAGTTTTAAAATAAAATTCAAAATGTTGTACTTACCTGGAATATTTGAAATACAAAAATATGAAAACAGTCGAAGTGACAGCTATAACGCCAAACGCAGCCCATCCAATGACCAATGGAACCATGAGATTTTGGGAATTAACAGTGCCTGTTAGTTTTTAGGATTTGATTCTATATTTAGGAAATTTAGTTTTATATCACTTATAGTTTGCAATTAATAAATTTTATAAGTTAAACACACTTGTAGAAATGTGTTTAACTTTTTTACTTTATAAATCTAATTCGTTGTTTTTACGCGCTGACCTGGTTCGATTACGCTGTGCGAAGCTTAACAAAGTCCTTTGTCAGAAATGCAGATCAAACCAAAAACAATCGAAATTAAATTCTTTAAACCTTGTCAAAAGATTTAAAAAAATGTGAAATGAAAAAACATAGGAAACGACAATAAAAATGATAAAGTTGATAGGAAACCATTTGTAGTTGGAGTTGTGCTGGTAGGTGCCATGAATGGAATAGTGGATGATATTGAGTGATTGGAAGATATCGAAGATTGCGTTGGTGTTGGGACAGTAGTTGTTGATGTAGTTGTTGAGCTTTTGTTATCTAGAACAAATGAATTTATTATCTTAAAGACACTATTTTGAAAAAAACATTGTTTATTGTCTTCAATATTTTGAGATTAGATATTTGAAATGTACTTTTGTACTTACCCGTCATGCAAATAATAACATAGTTGTCACTGCAACTGACGTTATTGACCCAATAACTTCCATCTGCATGACTGATTGCAGAACAGAAACCAGATGGCGGTTCGTAAAAATCTGGGTGGCCAGATTTCCATTTTGAAAATTTCACGGCCGAGTCTTCATAAAAACATATTTTGAAACAATTTTCAGCATAAATCATAAAAATATTTGTTCATATAATTAGAAAAATTGGAATATAAAACTTTTTACCAGCTTTTCTCCACATGATGTTATATCTAGATAGTCCAACCCAGTAACCATCATCTCCCCACAAATTAAGCCATGTCCTGTTGAAACCACTGAGTGGCAGATCATCAAATACTGCCAGATCACCACCTTGTCTTATGCATTCATTCTCTTGTTGGTACCACGTGTTGGGATATGGGTATAAAAAATAGCAACTTGATTTGTAGGACCAGCTGCTCCATTGAGAACAACTGTTTGCATCTGCAACAAAAAAGTTCGTTCTACAAACAATGATGGAGTGTAAGACGTTGGCATTACTTTCAATTTTACAAATGGCTTTTTTAGAACTGCTGAAGTAGTCTGCGAAATATCCTAGCACTACTTGTCTAGTAGCATCGTAAGTTCTTTTAATGTAGGCAATTCCGCGAGCAGCAGGAACTTGGTCTCCTATATTGCCTGAAACTTTATTTCATTGTTTTTATAGTGATTAATTCTCAATTATTTATTAAAAAAAAACTTACATTTAACTTTGTTCAACCAAAACCAATCTCCCGAATGATTCATGTTTAGCGGAATATTTCTCCGATCTAAATGCCAATAATATTGACTAATAAATCGATCAACTAGCGAACTGACGTTTCCATCGTAAACCTCCAGTAGCCATCCATCTCTGTTCAGTTGTCTACATTCGTTATCTGCATCTGTTAGACCATTGTACAGTCTATACGTGAAGTTGGAATACAAACAGTATCTTTCATCACATAACTGTTGAACTCCGTACGTTAATGACATAAATAAACTGATCAGAATAACAATTGGAACTCCATATTTCGTCGTAACTTTAACAACCATCTTATTATTGTTAATTAAAAATTCATAAAATATCTTAACAAAAATTTCAAACAATACGTTTTACGTTCTGTGTGGTAGTCTCAAACAACATTTAAAACATTTAAAATTATTTTTTTCTGTTTAAAATCAGCCCAATCCCTAAAGCGCTATTTAATTTTAATTCAGTTCTCTTCTAACTTCCATATAACTTAAACTATATTTCAAAATAAAATATATATATATATATATATATATATATATATATTGTTGAATAAACATATCATAAAAAAATCATATAATTATATCAATGAGATTATGTATATTGTATATTCAATCATATAATGATATCAAAGAGAATATATATATTGTTTATTCAATCATATAATTATATTAAATACGAGTAGTTTATGGAAAGAGTAGTAATTTATTTTGAAAAAATGTTATCAATCAAGGAAGCTATCTTTTATATTTGTTTATTAAAAACGTGTTGTTGTTATATGGATAAATACGTATACAAGCACGCACGCACAAACACTAACACTTATAAATACACACACAAGAATACACATAAATATTATAACATATGTATAACATATGAATCTTTTACAAGAACACGAATGAATATAACACATACAAATAAACGAAAAATATGCGTATGTGCTTATAAATCTATAACAAGCAATTAACATCCATTCTGCCATAACGAGTTTCATCGAAGCTTAATAAATTTTGAGGCCGGACAGTTATAAATAAATAAATAAAAATTAAATGATTAAATAAATTAAATGAAGTTTAACAAAGTTTGAGCTTGAACAGTTATAAATAAATAAATAAATAAAAATTATAAAATAAAATAAATGAAATAATTAAATTAAAATAAATTTGTTATTAAATTTTACATACATACAGCGAGAAACACTCACATATACACACACATACACGCTAACATAGACTCAAACATTCAAATACATATATACATAAAAATAACATTCACATATAAACAATATACATACAGATAAAACTATAGGAATCTTTCTACTTGAAACATGCAGGACGACTTCCTAGTTGAGAATGTCGAGCCTGAGCATTTGTTTGGAAAGCGCGTGTTTTAATCACTCACATTTGTAATTTTTCAAATCTGCAATTTATTTCTAAATAATCGCATGCATAATTGACGTGAAAATCATTTTATATTATGATTGAATTTTTTATTTTAAAGTTTCAAATTGTTACTATTTCGTTTGTGTATGTTATGACAACGACGTCTGGTTATCAAGAGTTATGTGATGAAAGATACTGTTTGTATTCCAACTTCACGTATAGACTGTACAATGGTCTAACAGATGCAGATAACGAATGTAGACAACTGAACAGAGATGGATGGCTACTGGAGGTTTACGATGGAAACGTCAGTTCGCTAGTTGATCGATTTATTAGTCAATATTATTGGCATTTAGATCGGAGAAATATTCCGCTAAACATGAATCATTCGGGAGATTGGTTTTGGTTGAACAAAGTTAAATGTAAGTTTTTTTTTAATAAATAATTGAGAATTAATCACTATAAAAACAATGAAATAAAGTTTCAGGCAATATAGAAGACCAAGTTCCTGCTGCTCGCGGAATTGCCTACATTAAAAGAACTTACGATGCTACTAGACAAGTAGTGCTAGGATATTTCGCAGACTACTTCAGCAGTTCTAAAAAAGCCATTTGTAAAATTGAAAGTAATGCCAACGTCTTACACTCCATCATTGTTTGTAGAACGAACTTTTTTGTTGCAGATGCAAACAGTTGTTCTCAATGGAGCAGCTGGTCCTACAAATCAAGTTGCTATTTTTTATACCCATATCCCAACACGTGGTACCAACAAGAGAATGAATGCATAAGACAAGGTGGTGATCTGGCAGTATTTGATGATCTGCCACTCAGTGATTTCAACAGAACATGGCTTAATTTGTGGGGAGATGATGGTTACTGGGTTGGACTATCTAGATATAACTTCATGTGGAGAAAAGCTGGTAAAAAGTTTTGTATTCCAATTTTTCTAATTATTGAACAAATATTTTTATGATTTATGCTGAAAATTGTTTCAAAATATGTTTTATGAAGACTCGGCCGTGAAATTTTCAAAATGGAAATCTGGCCACCCAGATTTTTACGAACCGCCATCTGATTTCTGTTCTGCAATCAGTCATGCAGATGGAAGTTATTGGGTCAATAACGTCAGATGCAATGACAACTATGTTATCATTTGCATGACGGGTAAGTACAAAAGTACATTTCAAATATCTAATCTCAAAATATTGAAAATATTAAACAATGTTTGTTTCAAAATAGTGTTTTTAAGATAATAAATTCATTTGTTCTAGATAACGAAAACTCAACAACTACATCAACGACACCTGTTTCAACACGAACGCAATCTTCGATGTCTTCCAATCATTCAACATCATCCACTATTCCATTCATGGCACCTACCAGCACAACTCCAACTACAAATGGTATTCTATCAACTTTATTATTTTTATTGTCGTTCCATCTGTTTTTTCATTTCACATTATTTTAAATCTTTTGACAAGGTTTATTGAATTTAATCTCGTTTAATAATTTTTCTTTTTACGTAAATTAATGTAAAAATTTGTCAGTATCTCTTCAAAAAATCACGCAACCCATAAATTTTGTGTGTTTTTATTGTAGTTGCTACTTGAATAGTTATTTATTCTGTTAATATTTGAAAATATGCCACACGTTTTGGAGAGTTTTTTTTGTAATATTTTCATTCAAAAATGAAACACTAAGGTGTTGCTTCTGCCTCTACTACTACTGCTGCTAGTAGTATCAAACGTTAAACAAATTTCAATTTGAAACCTGATTTATACAAAAATTCTCATCATGATCTCTTTCAGAAAAAAAACATTATCCTAAAAATATCTCAAATATTTAAAAAAAAGTTGTTTTTAGAAACTAATTTCAATAAAAATTCACACCAATAACATCATCACAGGTAATGAAACTTCAAACGATATTCCAACAAACGGAGAATTGACACAGGAGCAGAAGATAGGGCTGGGAGTTGGCTTGGGATTGCCACTATGTTTGTTGCTGGTGGGGGGTTCCGTGTTGGCAGTCGTCTGCCTGTGGCGCAAAAAATTAGCCTGGTTTGTTGAAAAAATGTTTTTTTTAATTATTTCACTGCTGCTGCTGCTGCTACTTCGAATACTGCAACTAAGACTAATACTACTGCTACTACAACTACTGGTGTTACAACAACTACTTTTGCTACTTAATAAGGATAAAAATAATGGTAGTAGTGGTAGCAATAATACATGACGTTATTTTCACGGATGTTTGGTCATTTTTTTTTATTTTCTCAACATTATCAAGAGGACCCACAAAAATTTTTCAAAAAAACTCATCGAGGGTACAACACAGAAACTCAAAAAACTGGCACATCCATATCCAAAAGTAGAAATCAACACACAGACACATTAATAATCACATACAACTGAACTTAAACAAACATATTCATATGAAAAAATTGATCTGACCGTAGTTGAACATGAATGTGTTCTGTAGAGCTATTGATGTAATATGAAATCATTCATATACAAGGTGACTACATACTTAGCAAGCGTACTAGAGCCAAACAAGCTAAACAATATACTTTCTCAAAATTAACCTGTACATAGAATGAGTGAATGTTTAAAGTTTAAAAATCGTTATATTTTTTAAAATAATTCTACTTGTTCCTGGTTTGAAAATGTAAAAGTTAAAACCATTTAAAAAAATTAATTATTTTGAACTTCAAATTAGAAAGTTTCAAATATATTAGTGATGAACTATATGAACTATTCAGTGAGTAATTATATAATTATACTGTGTAGAAATGACTTCAAGTGCATGTAAATACAAACATACTTTTGTATTCATTTGAACATTTGCCTAAGCCCAAACATTTTACAGCCCGAAATTTTTTTTTATATTTGTTTAGTTCAAAACACGCCATTAAAATAATAGTGAGAAACTACAATTCAGAATAACGTTACTCCTAAGTGGGACTGTTACTTTCATTTATTTATCTATTTTATTTTTATTAAACACAATCCCAGCCGTTCATAACCCACAAAAGTGCGGCTTTTCACGAGTCAACATTTTGTAAAAAAAAAGTTGATGATTTTATTAATTTAACTGTGATTGAAATTATAGATGTTTACTCAAAAAATCAAAGTCAAACAGAAAAATCAATGGTTTGAAATGTACAAATTGAAAAGTTAATCGCTCATTATTAACTCTTTTTGAGTTGGCAAGGGATAAATTAAGGATGTATAAAAATATCGCCCGTTTTAAAGCTGGTATAATTAATTATGGCCCTTAATAAAATAACTAGGAGGCTTCTATTTCTTTGTAGTCCGGGGCCTTTACCCCCCTAAATTCGGTTCTGAATATGAATTTTAGATACTTTAAATAATAATTATTATAGCATAATATATTAATATGAAATTTAAAATCAATTCTATAATTTTTCCACGCACAAAAACTCAGTTTCAAGAAACTCACATCACCCCAACCGCGACGACTCCAAGAGTACAAGGATCCCATCTACGCCTATCCCGTTGTTTCGGGATCCCAAAATCGAGAAATGGATACGACGCCAAAACCGGATATAGTTTACGTGGTGCCGGATTTTTCGGGACACCAAAATAATAAGAATAATAATAAGAATGAAAATAATAATAATAAAACCAATAATAATAATAATACAGATGATGTTGAATATGATAACAGTGATAATATTAGCGGAGAAGTGTACGGAAATATTAACGAATTAAAAAAAGTTAATAATAATAATAATAATAATAATAATGGGAGTGATGATGGTGAAAACGATGATAACTATTATGATGATGTAAATAATTATAACAATAAAAACGCGGGTGGTGGTGATATGCAGAATATGGTATACTTGCATGACAACCTCTGCACTGATTCCTCTACTGATTTGAGATGAGGAATTATGATATCATTGTTATGATATTGGGCTATTATCATTATCTCATTACCAGTGTGATGTATTTGTGTGAGACACACACACACACGCACACACACATACATACATACACAGAAACACACATGAATATTTATCATTATTAATATGTTAAAAAAGGGTTTTTTTAATACAGGTTTGGATTATTACTGTTGTTAAAAACGCTATCAACAATACACACACATACATACATGTGTGTGTGTGTTTGTGTGCGTGTATGTGTGTGTGTGTGCTCCATGTATGTATGTATGTGTGTATGTGTATGTGTGTGTGTGTGTGTGTGTGTGTGTGTGTGTGTGAGTACTATCGTTAATAATATAATAGTTTGGTATTATTGTTACAATCCTATTTTTAGCCATAATCGTGGGACGTTCGTCAATTTATTCTATTGTTTTGATAGCGTAATAACTGATTATAAATGTTCTTCTATAAATTTTGTAAGAGCGAGAGAGAGAGAGAGAGAGAGAGAGAAAGAGAGGTGGAAGATAGAAAGAAAGAAAAGTTGGAAAAAACGAAAGAAAGAAGAGACAAAATTGAGATATAGAAGGAGAGAGGCTAGAGAAAAAAAGGGATAAGGTTAAAACAAGAAAGATAGATCGGTGAGTGAGTGAGTGTGTGTGAAAAAGAAATTAGAAAACCCAGAAAAAATAAACTAGAGAGAGGGAGAGGAGAGAGAGGAGGTAAAAAACGAATGAAAAAAAATGTTTCAGAAAAAGAAATTTAATTATTTCCATAAAATATTTAATAAATATTATAATTTCTATTTTCAACACTCTCTTTTTAATTGATTTTAATTTTATTAAAACATTAACGCAATTATGTAACCAATGGTGGAAAAACTACAGAAAAAAAAGCCACAAATCTTAAAAAATTCTGCACAGAGTCGAAAAATTTGCTATTTAAGTACATATGTGGCCCTTCAATGGTAAAATAGTTCTCAGTGCGGCCCTCACAGCAAAAAGTTTGCCCACCCCTGGTGTAAACTGTATATAACAGAACCTTGCGTTTATCTTGAAAGTTTTGCTTAAACTTTTGATAACGTCTGCTACACTTCTAACAGTTCTTACAAACTTCAATTGTTTTGTCATATTTCTAAAAAGATGTAATAAACTAATTTTTTTAAATATTTTTTCATAATTTTAATTTGAAAAACACGAGCTTTCACGCAATTTATTGATCAAATGTTGAAAAACTCATTGTTAAAATGTTATTTTAAAAATAAATTATAATTTTTTGGTAAAATACTTCAAATCGTTAATAAGTTTATTGAACATCTTTTATTGAAACATTGTAAATATGCTTCGGTTTAATAAAATTTCATTTGGTTTCTGTAAAATTGAGTTGTCAATCATTTTAAAAAAAATCTATCAATTAATAGACTCATCGTCCAATTAATCAATCAATCAATCAATTAATCAATCAATTAATTAATTAATCAATCAGCCAATCCTAGGCATCGGGATTGCCCTTTTCTGCAGCAACCCAAACCTCGGCAACCTTTTACTCCTCAACTGCTCCATCTCTCTGACGTCATCAACTCCCATGACGTCATCGCCATCGTCACTGTTGTTGTTGTCGTTATCTACCGCGACCTTTGACCTCAACGACCTCAAACCGAAACGTGGTAGTCTTTTTTCTTTGAGGCCGAGTCTTGGTAGCGGGGATCTTTCACCCAGTCGAGGCAGGGGGCTTCTCTCGTCCAGGTGTATGAATGGGGATAACTGGGAAAAAGGATTGTATTTATATAGAAAATTATTTTGTTGTAGCATAATTTATTCATAAAATAATTTTCTAGAGGGTCACCTACCTCATCGTATAAATTATTATAGACCTCGTCATCCCTTTCGTACATCTCTTTACCTGATTGGTCGATTGATTTTGCCCTGCTCAATTCTGATTGGCTGCCTGGTTTGCACATAAAAAAACATATCTAACTATAAATAAACTTATTAATAAATTAAATGAATATAATAAAATAAGTTTGAAGATAATTAAATTTTCATATTATTTTATAATTTAATGAATAATTGCTGAAGAATTCTACAATCATTAACCCTGAATAACTAAGAAGCAAGAGTATGCTATTAAGATTATTATCATCTGCAATATTTGCTTCATTTCGATTTTTTTTTTCAAATTTATTGTTAAAAATCTTAAATTCTTTAAAACATTAATTAATCATCAAATATAAATATAATATAAAACCAGATTAATAATATTTTTTTAAAATAATAAATTTTTTTATAAAATAAATTTGTAATGAATATATTTATTTATTTATTTTTCAATTTATTTATTAATTTATTTTATTTTTCATAAAAAAACCGTATTTTGTTATTTATACCATAAAAAATTTTCTAAGTAGGTCTTTTTCTATCATCTAAGTTTAAGATCCACCAGTATTTATACCAATAGACTTGCGTGTATGTATTTAGAAATGAATGTATGTATGTGTGTGTATGTGTGTAGTGTATATATGTACACGTATGTATGTATGTCTGTATGTGCGTGTATGTGTGCGTGTGTGTGTGTTTGTGTGTGTGAATGCGTTTGTGTTTATTTATCCGGTACGTCAATCAATGCCACTTTCTTAATGTTAATCGAGTTCTTGACGGCTGCATGTGATTTCCGGTCGGTCTAACGAAGCTTTCCATCCCTGATTTATTTTTCCGGATTCCAAGTGAGTTGAGTAATTTATTATGAAAAATTAGGGATTAGGTGAGAATGTGGTAGGAATGTGGTGGGATGTGATTCGGAGTGGTAGGTATGGGATGTGAGAGGATGTAGTTGGTTGAGGTGAGTGGCAATTGTTTGAATTATTGTTAATGTCATTGTTCATTTGATGTGATGTCACGTGATGTTTTTGAATTTTTCGGTTCTATTGCTGTTCATTTATTTTGACAGTTCTTTGTAAACAAATATAAACAAACAACATTTGAACTTGTAAACATAATATAAACATCAACCTCTTGTTTAATACCATTTTTAATTTTAATTATCAACTTAAATTTTAACTGTAACCATTTTGTTTAACTTTATATAAAAATAAATTTCAGTTAATTAGGTTGTTAATTTGATACTTATTAAATAAAAAATATTTCTAAATCACTTAACTAATAATAGAAATGAATAAGTAAGTTGAAGTATTTTTTATAATCTGTGTGCGTGCGTATGTGTGTGTGTGTCACATGTACCAAATACCACATAAAATAAAACACACGTGCTATTTCGGTAGCCCGTCAATTGTCACATTTGACGAATCGAAATCGGATATGAAAATGAAACGGTTGAGACTCTTCTTACTTATAACCTCACTAGTGGCATCAATCGTAACTGCAAACGTAATGGCAGCCGCATTGATATCCTATAGAAGTTAGTAGTCTTTCTCTCTTTCTTTCTCTCTTTCTCTCTTTCTCTCTCTCTACACACACACGCACAACACACACACACACACTCATACACTAGTCATTTGATATTTTTGAATTGCCACTGAGATTATCACTCTCTCTCTCTCTCTCTCTCTCACTCTCTCTCTCTCTCTCTCTCTCTCTTTCTCTCTCTACACACATACACACACATACACACACATACACACACACACTCAAACACTAGTCATTTGATATTTTTGAATTGCCACTGAGATTATTTTTATATATTAATATTTTATCAAAATTTAATTTTTTAGAATCCTTCAGGACGACGACTACCGACAAACCGCCAGTTCCGATTACCACAGCCGCAATAGATGACGCCGCCGAGTCGTCGCATGTGTCCAAGATCTCAAAACCGGATGAAGAAACTTTAAAAACTGCTAATGGTTTTTAGATCGTTTTTACTGCCACTAATACTACATCTACTACTGTACTAATTTTACTACTTACTGTGACTACTACCTAGTATATTACTAATACTTCTACTACTATGGAACCACGGTTAAGTTGAACCAGTTTGGGTGAATTTGCTTATTTATAACAAATACCAATAGGCGTTTTATAATTATAACTATTAGTGCCTAAAGATCTAGCCAGGTCATGTTTATCTGTCATGTTTATGTCCGCAAACTGTTAAGTAAATATCGCTTATGTGATTTTGCAGTTCTCGAGTAATTTTTAGTGGTTTAGGTGATTGTTCTTTACAATACAATCGATACACATTTTTGTAGTGTTTTCATCCAGCCAAACATTACGTACTTCATTTCAAACCTTGGAAACATGTTAATGAGGCTCCAGTTTTAATACTAGGATCGCCATGGTTGGGGCATATTGAACCAAGCTGTTAAAAGCAATAACCTACAATAGGTATGTGTCCTATTTCAAGCAGTTTTAATGCAATAAAAAAAAATAATGAGTTAAATACGACAAATTGGTTCAATATGCCCCGGTCTTCCTTACAACTGCTACTACTACAGCTGCTACTACAGCTGCTACTGCTGCTGCTACTACTACTACTACTACAGTTGAGAACTTGTGGATATTAGTTGATTTAATAATTTAACCGCTAACCATAATAGTTGGCCAAACATTTGTTAAAAGTTAGTAAGTGGTTAACGAGATGTTGTAAGGTAATGCTTGAAGAGGATGTCTGTTGGCAGCTCCTGGATTTGAATGCAGAGGTTTTTGCTATGCGCGTTTTTAGCTGATTTATCATCGATTAATTAGTTTTTCCACAACTTTTTAAAAATCTTTTCTAAACTCAAGTTAATTTGAAATTTGTACGACTATACATTTGTCTAAATTAAAAGAAAACTATTTTTTTTATCATCAACTAGTCGCTACCACCATGACAGTCCTGACCACCAACATAGTTGTGGCTACTACCATACCCACTACCACTCCAACTACTACTAATGCAAAGACGACTGCAGAGTCTACACTAAAATTGCCGTTACTGATAAAAACACTAAAAGTGGCCACTACCACTACCACTACCACACCAAATATTACTAATACAAAGCCAAAAACACTACAAATTACAAACATAACCACTGTAAACTATAGCTAAAATATTGTAGCGGCTGTAGCTACTGCAGCTACTGTTTATGTGGCTGCTGCAGCTGCTTCTATTGCCGCTGTTGTTGATTTTTATTTTTAATATTTTATTTTTAATATTTTTATTGTTTATAATTAATATTTATTTAAAAAAAACAGTCAGTTTTTTAAGGAGCAGGTTTTCAAAACAATAAAAATGTAAATTTATCAATTTTGGTCTGAAAGAGTAATAAAAATACGAATAGCGTATAGAATCAGTATTTAAATTTGAAACTTTTTTTTAATAAAATTCGTTATAAAAGACAATTTCAGATCTGTGTGTAAATGAACGAAAAACGAAAAAACATATAGATGAATTCATGGATATGTATTTGGATCCATGGAAGAAGTTGAATATCAAAAACATCATATCGAAATTTCAAGTTTTGGTTTGTGTGTGTGTACGTGTGTGTGCGTGTGTGTACGTGTGTGTGTGTGTGTGTGCGTATGTGTGTGAGTTCAGTTTCTTAAAAATCTCATTAGATACATCATAAATACATATCTCACATACAAATACAAATACATAAAAATATATGTGAAATGTAAGAATGAAGTTTAATAAATTAACATAGAAATATAAAATAAAAAGATATGTTTACATTTAATAAATATTCACGTACATTATAATTTAATGAATATAAACTTCACACATATAGACAATGACATAAACAAAGACACAAACAAAACATTTATCGTTGATTCAAATTAACATTTCTAAATAAATTAACATAAACCAAAAAATCATCGTACATATATGAATATTAAACAACATTTTTGAATAAATTAAGAAGATTTAAATAAATATTTATTTTTTTTAAATAAAATAAATAATTTCAACTAGTTTAACTCATTTAAAGGCATTATCCAGTGTAAATATTTTACATATTCAATTGTGTTTTTTGAGATATGTTTCTAAAAATATTCATTTGTACGTGTTTGAGGTGTGTGTTTGTGTGTGTATGTGTAGTGTGTGTGTGTGTGGTGTGTGTGTGTGTGGTATGTGTGTGTGGTGTATTAGTGTGTATGTGTAGATAAGCTTCTTGAAGGATGGTGGTAAAAAACCTAAGGCGGGTGAGATCGCTAGTAACTGCGTGTGTATGTATGTGCGTGTATATCTCTGTGTGTGGTTGTGTGTGTGTTTGTTTGTACGTGTGTGTACGTTTTAATTGATAAATTAGTTTTACATTATACCAAAAACCTGGCTGAAGTAAAATCTCAATGACAATGTGTGAGTGTGTGTGTGTTTGTGTGTGTGTGAGTGTGTGTTTGTCGTGTGCGTGTGTGCGTGTGTGTATGTGTGGGTATGTGTATTAATATTGATTAAAAAATCCTAAATCAAATTAAATTCTTAACAATAATTTAGTTGAGGCTTATGCAGTAACAAGTTAACAATACTATTAATCCCCAACGTTTTAGTCCTATCTTCATAATTATCTTATTTATTATTATTATTTATTATTATTATTAATTATTATTAATATTACTGTCATAATTTTTCTTGTCTCTTCTGTATATTTAACTCTCTGATCATGATGAGATGCTAGCAGAACTGACGGCTGGATTATTGAGGGACAGCTTTGTCTGAAAGTAATGAAAATAATTCTTCCACTAAAAGACAAGTAACAGTAAAAAAGTATTTTCATTACTTATGTTTCTATTGCGAAATTTATTTTAAAATTTTATTTTTTTTTTTATCAAATTAACCTTCCGATTTTATTTCATCTCTCACTCATTCATTCATTCATTAATATATTTGTCCATTTAGTAAAGTTATTCATTCATTTTTTCATTCATTCATTCGCCAGTCGGAGCTTACGCTTCGAGTCAACCAATCGACAGCAGCCTAACCTAAACTAACCTTAAAATAGCAACCAATCAAATCAACTAATTAGAAAACCAATCAGCTGATGCAAGCCAATCAAAATGCACCATAATTATCAACCAATCATAATCAAACAAAATAAAACCATCCAGCCAATCAAAACCGACCTTTCATGCAAATGATAGCTACAGGCTTCTGCTCTGAATTATCCATCCATATCCCGCCATTCCTGTAATCGTAGATCGTCTGCACTACTTCCGGAGACCTATCCAGATGGGAGGGGTACGGATATCCGTTGTACCAGTTAGTGAAATTAGTGATTGAGCCTGTGGGGATTGATAGGGATGTGCCATAGGTATTTGTTTATTATTTTCAATAATAATGTTTTATTAACTCGCAATAATTTTTAATTTGGATGAATAAATGTGGTGAAGTTGTTTTTGAGAAGAATAAAGATAAAATTATATATAATTAAAAAACATTATTATTTAGAAAAACTTTAATTTCAGTCACGATACGGCATAAGAAACAATCCTACCAATAAAAACCATTCGACACAAATTTGAAATACACAAAAAGCAAAATTAAAATACATTTCAGAACATCTTGAAAACAATTTTTAGCAAAACCTTACCAGGTTTTCTCTGCCACTCCCATCTGCTATTGGTCAAGCCAATCCAATAATTAGCCATTCTCCTAGCACCGGAAAAAGTGCTCTGCAACTGTTGGGAGGTCAGGTCACCCAGGGACGCCAACCTCCCTCCCATGTTGTAGCAAAGGTTGTAGGCCTGGAACCAGTTGACCGGGTCAGCCGAGTTCATAAGTTTGTAACATTTGTTCGGGCCTTGGATGGATTTGATTAGGGGGTTGTTGTTGTTGTTCTGACTGTTGCATGCGCCTGTTAAAAATTTTGAGTTGTGGTGGTTTTTTTTTGTTTTGTTTTTTTTCCATAAAAACGTATATGAAAGCGTATTTCACACTTCATGTGTAGAAACAACAACAAAATCGACAAAACTTTATACTTACAAACCATAAAACACACCACACCAAAATGCCCCCCCCCAATGCCTAACCATCAAAAGAACAAATGTAATCGTTAAGGCGTGTGGTGGTGTACGTTGGGCCGTAGATACCTCTCATAGGGATGTTCCTCAGGGTAGCGAAGGGCTTGAATATGTAGAACATTATTTTCTCGAAGAATATTTTTGCTGGGTCGTATTGCAATAACCCTGTTGTTGTATTTTTGGGAGTAATTTAATGTTGTATTGTTATTTTTTAAGAATCGTCATTATCATTATTATTATTATTAGTAGTAGTAGTAGTAGTAGTTAGCAGTAGTAGTCGTCATAGCAATAGTAGTAGTAGTAATAGTAGTAGTAGTTGTATAGTAGTAGTATTAGTAGTATTAGTAGTATTAGTAGTAGTAGTAGTAGTAGTAGTAGTAGTAGTAGTAGTAGTAGTAGTAGTAGTAGTAGTAGTAGTAGTAGAAGTAGCATTGTTGATATTCTTACCATTATAACGCGTCCCATCCAGCCACCTCCATTCAGTATCGACTCTTTTCAAATTCAGCAAGATATCTTTGTTGCTGGTAACAAATATTTTTTTTAATATTACTTAAAAAATATTATTATTATTGTTGTTATTATTATTATTATTGTTGTTGTTGTTGTTGTTATTTAAATCATTGTTCTCATCCAAGCATCATATTCTGCATGATTTCAATCTTGTTATCATTTAGAAACTCTTCATATAATAATGAAAATTCTGACTAGCAAGAAAGGACTACTTACATACCATTCTAAAATTATAATTCAACTATCTTGCTACAACATACACGCTACGTAGAAACACACCACACATCCACATCACGTACATACACACCAAACGACGTACACACATATCTTGTATGCACGCACATACGCCGCATCGTACAGACATAGGTAGACGGCATTCGAACCAGGTCATCGCCTAATGACAGAGCAGGACATGGCACTTTACCGACTGAGCTAACTCGCCAACCAATAATTAAAAATAATAATACTAAAAAAAAGCATAATAAAAATAATAATAACCTAATACCAGGCGAATTACTCATGAAGATACTGAGGTCAGTATTGACGCTGTCGTCATATATCTCCAGCATCCATGAAGCCGGGTCAGCCGCTGCACAAACGCTCTGTGCTTCCTTGAGGCTGCCGAACACTTTTTCACTGCCGTCACTCCAAAAACAGTATTTTTGGTAGCATCTCCAGGAAAGCTGAGATTGTTGAAGTTTGGCTAGCTTCTGCTGTCTGGATGATGTCGTTTTTGTGGTGGTGGTCGTCGATGTTGCCGGCAGCGGAGTGGCTGTCTCGATGATGATTAGGAGGAGGATGGTGATGATGTAGAGGCGGAAAAAAAGATGGCGACAGGAGGAAATCATGGATGGATCTGTATTTGTTTTTGTAGTTGGTGTCATTTTTTTTATTGTTATTGTAATTATATTCAATTTTATCTTCTATTTGTTATAATTTGTTTTTATAATCAGTAGTAGTAGTAGTAATAGTAATAATAGTAGAAGTATTTTATTATCATTTTCATTACAAAAGTTAGCTAGCAAAACACGTTTTAGTAGTTGAGGCAGTAGTAGTAGAAGTAGCAGCAGCTGTAGTAGTAGCAGCAGTAGTAGTCGCTGTTCAAGTAGTTACTAGTAGTAGTATTAGTAGTAGTAGTAGTATTTGTAGTGGTAGTAGTAGTAGTAGTATTAGTAGTAGTAGTAATAGTAGTAGTAGTAATAGTAGTAGTAGTAGTAGTATTTGTAGTAGTAGTAGTAGTATAGTACTAACAACAACAATAGCAGTTGTAGCGACCACAATTGTAGTAGTTGTAGTATTACTTGGTAATCATTACCATAACGAAAGTTAATAACTTAGCTATGAAAT